TTATTTAATATAGCATTATTTATATTAATACAGTATAATTTAATATAACATAAACCTTTTTTAATACAACATAATACAATACAATACAGCTTAATATACTATTATATAACATAACATAACATAATATTTTAATGCATTTAAAATAATATAACATAATATAAGATAATATAAGATGAAACTATGATGTAGTTATATATATATATATTTACCTTTGTATACATGATAATGTATACACACACAACTGTGATAGCCAATGTAATTTTTGAAAGGAATAAATTTAAGGTAATTTGGTTGTAAGAGGCTCTTCGGCTCGTCCTGTAGTTTTGGCATGTCTTGGTTTCGTTCAAGACTGCGTTTTGAACTATTGAATTGGTCGTTTGTTTTTTAACAATTGATACATGTGATTTGGTCAATGGATTTCATGGATCTACATGAAATGTGTGCCTCGATGCGAATACACAAACGGGGACGATCTTCCCTCATATTCACCATGGCAGACATTTGGGTTTGTCTGAAAACATGGTACCTCAGCGTACCCCATTCCATCCACTGGTTAATCATCATGTTCCCTCTTCAAATGGCAATTCTACATATACCACATTTTCAGACACATCCATTTGTCTTATGACTCATCGGCGGGTGCCAGGACAATCAACTGGCTTTGGTTTTCGTTCTCTTTTCAGGGCCCCATCCTGAGTCCTCAGTGGCAAGGGGAAGATTCAGTGGTGATGTTTGAATCCATGAAGGCTACGAAAGCAACCGAAACACTATGAACATCCGGCCAAAAAGTGCCAGGTGTTTTTGTGTGATAGCTCTATATTGCTCAAAATTTTCCCGGGCCGAAGACATTTGCAGAACTGGATGTCACCAAGGTCAGGGCTGCGAGATCAAGCCATCCTGGGGCGAATGCTCTTTGAGACGCAGAAACGACTGCAACATCTTCAGGCGCAGCCCTCAGGAAACTATGATCCAAATTCAGACCGTCTCAAACCATTAGTAAATCATGGTGGATCTACATGGGTGTTTCCAAAAATCAAGGTACCAAAGCCTTGGTTTCCATAGAATGACCTTTTTAGGGTTCCAGACTCTAGGGAACACCATGAACACCCATATCATAGAACATATAGAACCTCGATGGATTGAAAGTTTTTCCACGCCGCCAGGGTCGTGATTTCACCAACGTGGCCCGAAAACCCAACTCTTTGGGAGGTCAATCTGGAGCAAGTTCATTGATGCTTACAGTTTTTGATTTGTTTTTCTGCACTTCATTTCTCAGCATTCCTGAATTTACGCAAATTTACTGCTTATTTTATACGCGTTTCGGGAGGCTGTGGGACATCTTCATTTGAACGTATTATTTGCTGTAGCTCGCAGATGTTCTGGTCTTACCCGCAAAACGTGCGCTGGATGTTGGCTGTACTATAGTTTGGATTTTCAAGGCCTTTGGTTTTGAATAGCTACAACTGGGATTTGTTCAGCGCAAAGCTGACATATTTGTAACCCTTCTTGACAAGCTTTGGAGGTGCCATGATTGATGGTAGGGCCAGATTTGTGACACAGGTCATGGCTTGCTTTCGAAGCAGCACTCCATCCTTGATGAAAGACGTGGAAGGCCTGCCTGTTGGGCCTTGTGTTGTGTGATGTTGTGTGTAAGACAAGCGCAACATGGATAGATGGGTTGAGGTTGTTTCATGCAGTTGCAGCTACTGGTACGTTTCCTGGCTTTCCCGTGATACTTGTAGCGGAGAAAACTGTTTGATGATACATTGAAACTGCATGAAAGAAAGTGCAATTTGGAGACTTCACTGATGGAGCATGGCCTTTGTCCCAAGCTTTGCCGAGTTGTTTGTAGCGGGATCAGAGATGATCTGCGTATTTCTACTGTCTGCTGGTTTGTGCAAGCGAAATTATAGCTGTAGCAACTCATTAGGGGACCATTCTGAAAGTAGACTCGTCCTGTGCTCATCATATTGATGACATGTGGGCAGAGTTTCCAATTGTTTAAAACGTTTTGCTTATGTGTGTATGCCTGCTAAGCATTCGGATTTTCTTTCTGTCAGTTACTCTGGTCTGTTGCAGGCGCAAGCATTCTTTTTCGAGACGTGAGTTTCATCGAATTCCATCTAGGTCTTGTCTTGTCCGCACCTGTTTTTCTTTCCAGAAACATGTGGTACTGAGTCCTGCTGAAAGAGCAAGACAAGACATGAGGTCAGTCCTTGAGATCGGTTCCAATCAACACTGAACACGACTGAGCTTGATTCGGAAATTCACGAACGTGATACCAGAAAACACGCAAAAACTAGTAGAGATCAGCTTTGGAAACCTCTGTCAGACTTGAATGTTGAGGTTTGTACGATGAGCTGAAGACGGCCGTCCAAGAGCGTTACCCAGGTGCATTCCATGGAACTCGACTGGGGATACCAGATCAGGAGTCGTCAAATGAAACCCCAGGTTGGTTGTTTTGCGGTTCAACTGGTCAGAGCTGACATATTTTTTGTGATTATGTATGTGTATGTATATACATGTGGGATAGTATAATAACCCCGGGCATTTCATTTTAGCTTGGTTTGCACCTTAACACTGCCAATGCATTGCCAGCCCAGAAAACGATAAGAGGGGCAAACAAAAACGATAACGTGATTTTGGGTAATTTAAAAAGATACGGGGTTTTTACACAACCCCATGTATATCAGGGATTGCATGGGGGTGCCATTCCAGTGAACTAAGTGAGCATATAAGCATGGTTCTGTATTGTAGGAGTTATGGTATGGTTATATCCCAACTTCTGGAGTATTTACCATGGTTAGTCAATCTATTTTCACCCCAACTGCATCCCCGACTGTTGAGCTTCAAGTTGACTTGCTGTGTAGGCAAAAGATGAAACCAATCGATACGTCATGAAATCTATCCTTTTGTCAACATACTGTATTTTTAAATATAATGTTATTTTCAGCTGAAACCAGCGGGATTCTTACAGGTGGGCTTGTGCTCAAATCAATTTCTAAGCAGTAGATTCCTGGCTGCAGACACGTAAGGTTTCAAACCTCACCACGCCTGATTTGATACCCACCTTCTTTATCCTTCTTTGGAAATCGCGCCATCCCCAGGCTTGAGCCCAAGGTTGAAGTTGCGAATCTTCCTGGCCCCTTGGACGTGGGCATGATCCCATGGTCAGGGAATTTCTGGATCAGGTTTTGATCATCATAGCAGCAGCAGCAGCAGGAGTACTAGTAGTAGTACTACTAGTCGTCGTAGTAGTAGTAGTAGTAGCAGTAGCAGTAGCAGTAGCAGTAAAAGTAGCAGTAGCAGTAGCAGTAGCAGTAGGAGTAGTACTAGTACTAGTACTAGTACTAGTACTAGTACTAGTACTAGTAGTAGTAGTAGTAGGCATTGTAATAGTAATAGTAATTGTAACAATATTAGTAGTACTCATAGTAGTAGTACTCATAGTAGTAGTCGATTCTTAGTATTAGCATTAGTATTAGTATTAGTATTAGTAGCAGTAGTAGTAGTAGTAGTGGTAGTAGTGGTAGTGGTAGTAGTAGTGGTAGTGGTAGTGGTAGTGGTAGTGGTAGTGGTAGTGGTAGTGGTAGTGGTAGTAGTAGTAGTAGTAGTAGTAGCAGTAGGAGTAGTAGTAGTAGTAGTAGGTGTAGTTGTAGTTGTAGTTGTAGTTGTAGTAGGAGTAGTAGTAGCAGGAGCAGCAGCAGCAGGAGGAGGAGGAGGAGAAGTAGTAGTAGTAGTAGTAGCAGTAGCAGCAAGTCATTTTTGATCCGTTTGAAGACGTTGAAGTGCGGTTTCTCAATGCCTTTTCCGGTGTGCTATTTGAAAGGGACAGGAACTTAAAGGGGGTCGAGGTTTATCAGAGCCTTGGGACCCTTGAGACTTCAGAATGGTCTAATGCCTGAGCTGTTTGGCAAGATCACAATGATCTATATAGATCTATATAGTGTATAATATAAGTTGTTTTACACGCCATCATTTTTGTTGTTTATGACATACTAGATGTCAGAGCATCTTAAACTCAGTTGCATCGCTCGTTTCTTATTTTTGAAGATATTTGTTACATATTCTTTGGCGTTGGCTTGGCATAGCGGCATAACCGGGTCCGGTACCCAGGCAGCTCCCACACTCTTCGACCTGTCGCAGGAGCGGAGCCATCCAGGTGATGTGATTTGGGGACGAAGAAAATCCCAACTATTTCGGTGTGAGAAGGGGATTCGGCTCCATGGTTTTTTAGCCATGCCCACTTGATGTCAGAATGTCCAAGGAAATGATGATGATGATGATGATGATGATGATGACGATGGTGATGATGATGATGATGATGATGATGATGATGAACCATTTTTTTCGAATGTAGTTTTTGTATTTTATGATATATCATGTAAATAATTGTATACATATACGGGTTTGCAGGTTCAACACCCATCCATAGTTTTGAACACACCAGTCCAAAGCGCCTGAAGCTATGATTCACCTGAAAATTTATATAGTATGCTCAGCTTAGTGTTTGCAACAACACATCATATAATGAACAATTTCTGCTTTCTTTGGACCGCCTGCAAAAGTAAGACTTGATACAAGGCAGTCAAAACAAACATCATTCCCACAATTGAATGCTGCTTCCAAGTGCATATGTTTTCCATCAAACGCGGTCCAGACCCTGAACTAACTGGGGAGGGTGGACCCCAGTTGAATAAAGTGAAGAACAGGTTGGATCTACTTCAGGTATTGGGTCTACAGATCCAGTTTTCCAGATCAAAACCCACAGATGGGCGATGTTTTGCTCTGACATCTCTTGATATCTCTTGCATAGTTCCATAGGCCTGTATCAGTCTTGTGATCTTTGACACTTGGGGCTTGGTACCCAACCTGATGTTTTGGTTTTCCAGGGAAATTCAGCATCAGGAGATTTGATTTACCTGCCAAAATTAGAGGTGTCCTGTATTGAATTCCTCAAATTTGACACAAAATCACTATGTTGTACTGTGGACACCACATGAAACCCCAAAATTTGAACCTCCAAATTGACCGGCCGCTTCTGATTTGTAGTGAAGGAGGAGACTGTCTTGATGGCTGAAGCTTTGTTGCCACACCTGAGCTCCATGGAGCCTGCGGAACTCACGTCCAAAGCCAAGGGGTTGATGGAGCTGCATGGTGGGAGGTGATCCAAAATCATGTGTTTTATCATCATTATCCAATAATCCCCTAATCAGAGCTATATTATGAACTGGTTTTGTCGGAAACTTGAGGAAAATGATGATAAACTATGGGATTTTGGTGCTCCAAGTGTTGAGATAATTCAGAATGATGATGTATGTTGAAACAGTACAATAATATACAATAATTATATCCGTGCATTCAAAACATTTCAAAATTCTGAGTTGGTGGTGATCATTGGGGTCACTGTTCCCGCACACTGATGCACAACACTGTACATCATCTCAGTGAACACCGTGGACACCCCTAATTCGATACATTGAGTTGAAAAGGTGACGTTTGATTTGACCGTGCTATACTATTCTTGGCCCAGAGTGCAGTGAAACAACCAAATCCTTTCACTCGTGGATATGTAAGATTGTATCTTAAGGTCAATATATATACATCAGAAAAGATGACCTGGTACGAACACCTTGTATACAGACTGCGTGTGGACAAGCACTCCAAGGTTTCAACTTTCTTGTGTACAGTATCAAAAAGTGAGATTATCAACTGTATTTCTAGCTAATTCTCCAATAGACCTTCAAACTGTGGTTGTTTTGGGATTCAGAGCAACCTTAAGGGCCCCGTGCATGGAGTGTTTGGTTTGCATGCTTGGACTTGCTCGTGTACAAACATGCACAGAACATACAAGTCGGGCTCTCTCTTTCTCACTAGCGTTGTGATACATCCGTATATACCAATTATATCATTGATATTAATCAATTATTAATGTATATATAGACAAGTTACTGTACAACAGAGAAATATATAGTACGATTAAGACACATATATTACATAAAGAGTTTTACACAAAGTTATACATATACGAATACTAACATGTTCAAATTTCATCTGATTCAAGATCTACATTATGTCATGTGCAAAATTGCGTGAATCTCCCGAAGTGCCCCCAAGGCGTTGTATCGTGGGTTGCGCAAGGCGTCAACTGGTACGGGGACCCAGGAAGCTGCGCGCCTGCGTCGAACTCGTTGGACGTGACCGATACTTGATATACTTATCTAATCTTATCTATATGGCTACTATCATTATTTATTTATATTTATCTTAGATTATGATCTTGGATAATAGGTAATCTATAGTTACTATAGTTTTGGTGACACATTTTATGATTACAATTGCGAGCACCAATAATGTGTATTACATAGATAGCAATCATCATTCAGTGTGAGCAGAGTTCGTTTTGACATGAACGGATTGGTAAGACACTAAAACTGTGTGTTGCTCCCAGGCTTTGACCTAGATGGCGTAGACTTTGCATACGCTCTGCGTAGGTTTTTTGTGCGGTGAGGTCCATGAGCCTTTTCTTCAGCCAGTCTTCCAGGCTTTGCGGGAGGCGTGGATAGGTTGGGTTCCTTGGGTTCCTTGACGGGGCCAAATTTGAGGGAATCGCTGGGGTGCCCGAGTTCATGAAATCACAATCCTGTGAAATCGAAGCATGAATGCAGCCGCTCCATTTCTGTATGATCTATTTTGATTTTGGATGTTGGGGATTCCCATATGATTCCCTTTGGAAATCTTGCTGCGACATGGTTTTTGCGACCGCCAGCAGCGGGAAAAGATGAGTCCGGTGGATGTCATCAGCTGCATCCATGCAGTTCACGTGATGAATTTTTGGACGCCAAAAGCCTCAGAACTGGGAGATCCGATGGCATCGATGGTGCGTTTCATGGTGTTTTTTGGTGTTTCGTTGAGGCGCAAAACTATGCAGTTTTCGTTGAGGGAGTTGTTTTGAGCAGTTTCTTAATTACTACTGCTTAGTAGTTGGGCATATGAAGTACCAGTTGAGAAGGGATCATATTCATGCATATTCTATATACAATTTTGATGCTTTTGATTTTCATGAATTGAGACTTTGCAGTTAGAGAGTTGGTAATTGGGGGTCTAGCGTCTACTGTAGCAGATAATGTTGACCTTGCACCGTGTTTTTTTCACGAAGACTGAACTTTTGGATATTTTTTCACAGCCGATATGTTGAAGTCGCTCAAGTCGTGTTGTTTATGGTCTGACCTATCAAGCGTCGCGTTGAGCTTGGCACGAAGTTTGACTTAGTCCAAAAGTTTTGGACCAAGAAGACGCTGGTTTCACATAGTTTCCCCGTGTCAATATTAAGCATACTTGAGTGTTTTGGAGCGTCCTACCTCCAATAAGACCATGATGAGTGTTCGTTTGAGTTTGTGTGCATAAGTAAAACCATGTAAACCCATATAAAATCACCTGCAGAGACAAGCAAACAAACTTAAACCAACCCTGGAAACACGTTTATGACAAGTAAGTGATGTTTGCAAGACATTGGCTGGCTCCGTCTTAACCCACTCTAGCGCTCCGGCTTCACTTGACCCAGACCCAGGCCCAAGTTTCGCAGAAGTTTGGGTTTCATGTTGAGCCTCGGCAGATTCAAGATTTGCCACGAGACTTAATCATGTGGGTAGCCGACAAAATAAGCAGCTCAGCCTCAGCAAAGATAATCTTGAGATGTCGATCGGAAAGATCGTGACAAGCTGGGAGTAGTTTGGCCGATGCAATGAGTGTTGATGAAAACAACACAGCATCATGCCTGTGATATCAACTATGCCGCTATCTAGTGTAGGATTTCTTCCATGAACAATATGGCCCTGAGGATTACGACCTTAGGAGACCTGCAGAATTGTCATGAATTGGCCATGTCGACCTGGGCAGAGAATGCAATTCCATGCAATTCCAGGATCCCTCTTGCAAATCATTCTTCCTAATAGTCTGAATGATGATCGCGGGTATCATGAACCTCCGAGTGATCATGCACGCAAACGGCTGGTGTAGGATGGTGAAGGTACAGATGGTATTGAACTCATAATTGATTGCCCTTGCAAGACCTCGTTTGAATGCAAAGAGTTGGTTACACAAAGGAATTGACTGAATGCACCCTTCAGGATGCTCTTCACCAACAGAGGTTGATCCTGTATTTGTGAGTTGATTGATGTTGCATCCAGCAATAGTGGTCACGTTCAGATCCCTATTTAATCCTATTTATAGATGTGGTCCATGTGGTACGTGGAATGTCCTTGACTGAGGATGGAACACGTAAAGGCTGGACTTCAGCAATCGCCATGGGTTTCCCGCAACGGCTATAGTCCGATCTGGAGGGGTCAATCTCCTATCGACGGCATTTGGAGAGATGATTTTCATGTTCTTCCATTATTTGGGTGATGTTTGGATATGTTTCAATAATATATAAACAACATATACTGTACATGAGCAAATGCAACATAATACAACTTTTCGAAGAACATTGAAGAACTATTGTAATTTATGGTAAAATATGGTAATTTATAGTCGTTCATAGTGATTTATAGTAATTTATAGTGATTTATAGTAATGTGTAGTAATTTATAGTGGTTTATAGTAATTTATAGTAATTTATATAGTAATTTATAGTAATTTATAGTAATTTATAGTAATTTATATTGTTATATTTTATAAATTTCTCCCAATCATTTCAACACTCGTAATGTCAGGCTTGGCGCATTCCAGCCGCACGGCTGAGAGATGTGCTGCCAGCGCTGCATGCCTTGGGGCCACTGGGCTGCGGATCGGTATGGTTTCAGGATGTTTCATGATGCTTGAGTACACATACCCTCTGGTAAACTAACATAACTATGGAAAATCACCATTTTTAATGGGAAAACTCACTATAAATGGCCATTTTCAATAGCTATGTTAGTTTACCAGAGGGTACATGATCTGAGTAACTGTTTTTTGTGGGTATGACTTGATATAACTGTTTTGAGATTGGGAATTTATGGGAAGTTAAGCAAGAAAGTATGGGTATGAATGATGGACAGCTGATGGATAATTATATAATGTGGTACACCCAATGTCATAAACCATCCCCAATATTACCATAGATGGGTTGAATTCAAGTGACCTCCCACCTGCTAGGTCGATTATTGGGTTTGCCACATCACATTATCCAAATAACCATGCTTTTGTGGATCTAACTTGATATACCTCCCAGCAACAATAATGCATGCAAGCAATTCAAATGCAGATACAGTTGACAGGTTTGGTAAGGTTCCCCAAGACATCAGTGTTCTGGGATGCAGACAGCCATGCTTTCACAGTTGACCAGGCATAGTTCGCTCAAACTAGGCCACTGTCAGTGATGTCTAAAATAGGTTACAGTATATCTAATCTAGTCACTCAGCCAAATTCTGTATAGTACATAATTACTATACATATCTATACATACTATACATACATTGCATGATATTTTTAGATCGATTGACCATGCCCCATGATTTTGGTGGTGGTTGATATCCCAGGTATTGGCCGCGGCTCACGGGGTCCTTGCAACGCGCTGTCGCCATCGCCCAGTTTTGGGCCATGGATCCAGAATCCTCAACGGCAAAATTTGGCCAAACATGGCATTGAAATGCTGATATAGATTGATATAGTCTATATATATATAGTTGATACTAGTTATAGTCTATTATAGTCTATTAAAGTCTATGTGATATATGTATGTATATATAGTTGATGAAATATTGATAAAGTGCTGATGAATCGTTGATGATAGTTAATCGTTGACAGTGAATTGTTCCATTACCATGGTGGATCACCAGAGGCTATGCCGGCCAACTGTGAATCCAGGTTTGGCGCATCGCTCCAGAGGACTTGAAGTATCAAGTTCCACCACCTCCCAAGAAGCCCTTGGATGGCCGGGGCTGCCAAGTGCAGCTGAAACACTGATGCTATGCCACAGCCAAATTTGGATATTTTCAGGAAAGGAAATCATTTGGAAAGAAATGTCGTGGAAATCTGTTTGAGATGATCCAATGGTTCTTGCAGTGTATCAGTGAAGGTCAGCAGACGCCTGGACTATTTTACTTGATTGATATTTAAAAGTGTGCTCCTTATCCTTGGTTATGTCAGATTTATTCCGTTCAGAGTTGAATAGAAAGAACAATTACAGGAGACCTCATTTTTTGGTGGCCAAAAATCAGAGTTTGCTGTAATTTACCTTGAACCAAGCCAATGAATTTCATGACATTTCAAGTCACTGATGGAAGCCTTGATCTGGACCTTGCAACTCAGCCGAGCAGCACTGCGAGGTCCACAAGATGACGCAGAGGCGACGGATATAGCATGTCCAAAATGCAGGGTGTCTGCCTGCCGGTGGGTTAGTTTCTGGTCTCCATGGGTACGCAAATGCCTGACTCTGCCCTGACGAATTTCCTGGCCTTGCCCTCATTTTCACACATGTTTGCTTTGACATACAGGTCAAGATACTGTATCAGATCCAGGGCCGTTACTTTGTTCCGAAATGGATCCGACACATGGCACAGCACTCCTATAGCTGAGTCATGCTGAGTCATATATATATATATATTATTATATATATATATGTATACATATTATATATAAATATTAAATATATACATATGCCAGCACTCCTATAGCTGAGTCATGCTGAGTCATATATATATATATATATTATCATATATATTATATGATATATTATCATATATATATATATATACACATCTATCACAGGGAGTTGAAACCATCGGATTGCTGTCATGTCCCCAGGCCCAAAGGACTGGCTGGCGTCGCTTTGGCTTGCAGAAGATCAGGCAAGGAACTCGTTCGCCGGTGATCGTTTACTATACCACCTGGTTTAGTTGATGGAGTTGATAATTTGCACTAGACGCTTCTAATACCATGAGGGACAAGTGGGTGTACAAGTGGAAACTGGGTAATGATGGCGGGAAATTTCGCTTTGTGATGCAAGCGCAATAAGAAACTGCGACCTGAAAAAGCACGAAAAGGCGATATTTTAGGATGTACGTGGGTTCCATACGTTCTTTTTCCAGTTAATTGCCTCTTGGATCTCAGAAAAGATGTTCCTGCCGGATCCTTTTGGTAAGAGTACCTGACAAGGGCAAAGGTTTGAAGGTTTACACACCATATAACCCCTGCAGAGATGAACATGTTTTTCTGTTTGTCCACTCGGCCTGTTGTCCCTCAAAATGGTTCACCAGACACAGCTCTGTCACCGAACGACTGATGGTTTTTCACCATTGAAAAGGATGTGCCCAAGAAGAGGGGATGGGAAGGGACCGCGAGAAACCCACCTGTGTTTTTTTATTGAATCTTATTGAATCTTATTGGTAGCAGTTCCATTTGGATTGAATAAAATCCTCGCCCAGCGGTCAGACCTGGCATGCTTCGCCGCATCAGCCGTGAAGCTCGGCGTGAGCCTTGGCCAGTGTCCCTTGGATACCGCTACCAACATTGGAAATGCTTTTTTTATGCAAATGACACTGATGGATAAGTTGCGGGTGAGGGGTGTGGTGTCTTTCTTTTCAATCTGCAATTCTTGCTGGACTAGCGAAGTGATGACGAAGTGGTGGGATATGTTGAAACCACAAGAATCAGGGGTCAACAAGCCCCCATCAGGGACTGATATAGATTGATGGTGGTCGATTACCCGACCCCATATCCTTCACCAGTGGTGCGAACATCAACCCATGGACCTCAGGGAGGCCAAAGAAGCCCCGTTCCTGAGCCGGAAGCACGGCCTGAAAGATCTCACTTCAAATCCCTGGGAGGTGGGGCTGCGACGGTCATTTGGAATGTCATTGCAATGCAATGCAACCAATGCAATGTAATGTAAAGCGCTTCAATGTCACGTCATGTCGTGTGTGTGAATTTGAATGGACAACAGTGTTGTAAAATGTGATCTGTGTAGTTTAGTGCATGTGTATGTATGCACAATGTGCAGCTTCAAAAACCCTCAGGAAAGGTTCTATGCAAATTGTTGACCCTGCTGTGCAAATACTGGTGAGCAACTTAAGCTTGTCCTTTTGTGGACATGTTGGACCCTTGCCAGGAAGAAGGGTATATCATCGAGTCACAACCTGCTTAATCGGTCAGGTTATGTAGATTCTGTACCACCAGGCATATTTTATTCTGTAGAGCAATGCTGGGTAGAGGTTTGAGTTTGAGATAGTTTGAGTGGATTGTAGTGTAACATCCCACGTGTTTTTCTGCAAGTTTATGTGACATAATGATCCCAATCAATCATCATGTAGACTAAGCAAGGACCCAGCTTGCCCAGTCCAACATGTGTTGCACGCTGAGCCTATGTGTTTCGGTCGTTTGCTGTCTTCTTGCTCCTTTTAGGGACACTTGTTCACAGATTGACAGTCCGACATTTGCCATTCTCCTCATCACAATCGCCATGTTTTTCTTTCCATTGGTTTAGGGATCACCATCCAGATAGCTCCTGCAAAGAATGGTTTTCTGTATTATATGGCAATTATATGGCAATTATATGGCCTCTCAAGGTATCCTTTGGGATCCCAAATTGTCACGCCAGGGCAAGCGAAAACGAAAGGAAGAGGAACGCTTCGTGGAGTCCTTGCGTCAGGCGCCTTGGGAAGATCCGGAAGATCCGGAAGATCCCAAGGCACAACGAAAGTACACATGTTATGTCACAATGTCTGGCCATTCATTTAGATTTACTGTATTTTTATATATAATGATTTATATATATATATACATTATCATACATTATATATGCACATGGGCTACCACCAAAAAGGTCTATGTAAGGGATATGTATTGGAATGGAATATAGCTCAAAACCTGCAAAAACGAAGGTGACCCTTTAAAACGAAGGCAAACCTTACAACATCTTACAACTAAAGTTAAAGTTTGTTGATAGATTTCCATTTGAGCAGCGAACGTCAAGAATGGATAAGAATGGTGTCTTATGGAGTTATTGTCGCCTTGTCTTCCTTTTGTTTCCTTTCTTGCTTTCATGCCTTTCCTGTGACAGTTTCTGTTGGCTTCCTTTCCGCCTTCGTTTCTTTCTGTTGGTCCCTTTTGTTTTTTCCTATCTTGTTTTTCCTCCTGCTGCATTTACATTTTGTCAAGTTTCTGCTTTCCGCCTGCAAGTATTTTTTTCATCTTGCGGTTTCGTTTTCCCGTCTGGTTTTGCGTTCTGGAACGAAGCCAAAACGAAGGCAAAAACGAAGGCAAAATTCACGACAAGCAGCTTGGCATGAACCTGGCCAGGAGCAGGCAAACCTTCTTCCCCATCCTGCTACTACTGCGACAACTACCATTGCCACTGCGGGGCCTAGTTATGCTTTTGCTGCAGGCATTTGTCTTACCAGCACCAGCAAAGCACCAACAGCGCCGGCATCACCGCGATTGCTGCTGCTGCTGATGCAGCTGCTGCTGATGTTGATGCTGATGCTGATGGTGCTGGTAGCTGCTGGTAGCTGCTGCTGTGACTTGCTGTCACTGCTGTCGCTGCTGCCCTGCTGTCACTTGCTGCTGCCACTGCTGCTGCTACTGCTGCTGCTATTGCTACTGCCACTGCTACTGCCACTGCTCCTGCCACTGCTACCGCTACTCCACTGCTACTGCTACTGCTCCTGCTCCTGCTGCTTGCGCTGCCACTGTTGCTTCTTCTAGCACCTGTGTCGCTTCTACGAGTCACAGCACTAATCCTAGCACATCCTGGCACTGTTTTTATAACTTTTGCCATTGCTGCTGCCATTAGCTCGAAATCGCACGTATATCTGTGAAGGTCTGGTCGAAACCCTTGTAAAACGAAGGTGACCCTTTAAAACGAAGGAAAAATAGATATTCCATTTTGGGGCAATAGAATTTTGGAGGTAGCTCACATACATATGCATATGTATGCATACATACATAAAGTTGGTTTATTGCCCCCTATCTATCTATATACTAGTGTGTATATATATATATATGTATACATTTATATACGATGTATCTTCTATATACAGTATCCCCCTAAATCTGTTGGAGTAGTGATTGTCTCAAGATGTGCAGTTGTCCCAGGAGGCCGCCGAAGAGGCGGCGGAGGAAGCCCAAGCACCACCCCCCACGGCGGTGGAGAGCTTCATCAGGCGGTGATTCCACATCAAAATGTCATGCGTGCATCATGTATCAACATAGGGCCTATAGGGTATGAAAACACATGTTGATGATGAACCTGGAAGCGGGTGTCATTTATCCATATTTATCCCCTCAAAAGTAGAGATCCATTGCCTGGCGCGTAGTGAGATGCCGGCGATGGCGCAGGATGGCACGTCGATTGTGACACCGAATGGGGCCGACTGTGACTGGGGCGGAGAAGATCCAGAAATCTGGTATCAGTGGCCGGAACCAGGATTCCCTGCTGGAACTACATGTAGTCATTTTGGATCATGTTGCTGGATGGGACCACAAAAATTGATTTAAAAAAATGCACGTGGGATGTATCCACAATAATGAAGTACGTGGATGTACATGCTATCGGTGGTCAAGACGCCCCATTGTACCTTTGGTTGGAGGCCTGTTCACTGAGATGGATTGTCGAATCAATCTAGTTTTGGTCCACTTCTAACTACCTCAGTGGCAAGTGCGTAGGATATACATGTATATATATATAATATCAACGTCTTTGGCTGGAAACTGGTTCGATTCCACTCGCAACTTTCACGGAAGTCGACTGAAAAGACCACTGGTCTGTTCGGATCCACGGACTGCCATACAACAACTCAAGGCAGATGCAAGTCAACTCCGCCCTTTGCCTGTGGCAGTCATCAAAGGCTAGTGCAGCCAAGGATTGTACATATGACAGTCACTTTTGTGACTGTCAATGGCCCATTCGGATGAAGAAGGGCATTTCACTTCTGAATCTCAGATAGAGGAGTGGAAGATTCCAGTGACTGGCGTTGGAACTGCTTGAAAGCAGCAAGCAAAAAGATCAATCACAGGCTTAAGTGAAAAGCCCTTGTTCATCACAGGTGCCATAGTCCATGCCGCAGTAGCCATGCCAAAAGGAGCAGCGTTCCTGCCTGCACCTGGTAGCCCTCACTGGTCCAGATCATTTGCAAACTCTTGGCAGGAAGTCACCACTCACCACTAGTAATGATAATAATGTATTCATACACCCTTTTTGTAGTACTTATATAGACTTAAGTACAGTCTGAAGCCGGTAGGATCAAAATTTCAAGGTCCCAAGGACAATAGAGCTGGGGTGAGCGTTCATGTGACACCCCACGCCGCTCGCAGAATGCAATCAGTCCACAAGATTTGCTTCAAGGGCAGATCGGCAACTGTCGGGGACCCCCGGCAGGGCAGTTTGGATCAGTTTGGCAGTTTTACCCGGACCCAGACGTGCTGTTGGTCTCCCAAGCAACAAGCATTTGCATGAGTAGGCATTCATCTATCATGAACCTATTTCATGTCTATGATCATTATATGATATGTGTATATGGTATAGAATGATATAGATATGTATCGTATATATGACTATGAATGATTATGATAGAGATATCATTGCCTAAAAAAATGTAAAGATACTCCAAGGCCCTGCACAAAAACTGTGCTATCTTTTGATTGTTGGAATGTGGCCAATCCCCTGAGCTGGGTGATGTTCTGTTGCTGTTCTGTTTTTCGACGCCCAGTTCTGAGGGTTTGACCAATTCTAGAGGTCCAACTCGCCCGTTCAGAGCTGTAGTTGGTATGTCAGGATCAGGCAGGACACACTTCAGGTCTACTTAGATCTAGTTAGTGGATTTGTGTAGCCCTTTATCTTCGAGTCATTTGTTTGCAACGAGGTTGGCTGGTGGCTGCCATGGTGTGACACTTGGGTTGCTTGTGGGAGTCCCCTGGTTTGAACAACCACCTGGAACCTTCAGGTCATGTGGGCGAAACCCTACTGACAGTCCATTTGCAAAATGGCTTTGCTGAACGTCCAATGGTTGCGGGAACCACGATTAAACATACCAAGAATCTGCGGGTGCAAACATCCACATGTACCAAGGTAGCAGGTTTTTCACTGATACGCAACAAAAGTTATCAAACTAATAGGATCCCCAAAACTCCAATGGTTATCTTCATTTTCCTGACTAGCATTTCCCAAAAGTCCAAACCATTTGGAGGCCATTTGGAGGTATAGAGTACCACAATGTACCACAAACCCAGAGATCTTCACCCCGTGGCTGGCCCTGCAGCTGTGTCGATTTCCGCCACCGGGCTCCTGGTGCCCCATCACAAGGCGAGCGCCATGAGATGATTTAAGTCCAATGCCCCACAGATTCATTGATCTTCTATAGTAACATATAGTAAGTAGATAATCAGTAGATATATAATCTATATACTTGAATGATGGGGAATTGTCATGGATTAATATGGATTGTTCGATCATAATTTATCTCATTGAATAACACTGTAGTCATTACTGTAAATGATAATTGAACAATCTATGTAATTAGCAGTAGATCATCGACCATTATCATTTGAGATTATCTATGGTAAAATCCGTAGATAATTCTTGATATAGATAAATTGTCATTAAAAGTGAAAGATCTATATATAATGAAATTATGACTATGCTGAAAGTGGCTAAACACTTTCAATGATAGTGATATATGTCATCCAATTTATAGATATATATAGATGAAAGTGTTTGTTTATGACTATGAATTGCAGGGGATGCCAGGCTGATGGAGCTTTCGGAGGAGCAACGTGCGAGCCTGGCGCTCTTTCGGGAGGCACCGACCGGGGGGCGATGAGCCATTGGGATCCCTATATTCTCGGATAGAAAAGTGTTAGAACAGCGGATCAAAATCAATTTCTCAAGGAAATGGTAGAAACTGGTAGATTCTAAACAGGTATCACTATTGGTGCAGGGATGTATAATAGGCGGGGTCAAACAAGTGGATCATCATCCCTATTGTAGGGGTATATCATATCATTCGATCTTTTTGGGGACCCCCACTAAGAGTGAAGATGACCAGACCTGTCTTGAGTAGTTGAGTAGTTGTAGCTCAAGGCCCGGTACAGTCGCCCCGTAGTCTTTGGCACTATAGGCTAAAACGATGACCTACAACAAAACCACAATGGTTCGCAATCATTCCAAATCATACAATGGTTGGTAGCCTCTCATACCTTTTCAATCCTCAACTGACCAAAGTTTTTTGGGTGGGAGATGGGCTGAAAGCACCAACCCAGTCACCACCCAGTAACTTTCGTGGCCGTTTTTTTTCTGCAGGTGACGGCTGAAGCCAGAGATGAGGCGGCTTCCATTGAGGTGTTGAAGTCGTGTAATTGGAATGCTGCTTGGCATCAGAGGGCCAGTTGGATGATCTCTAGGCATCTTGAGGGGATTCCAGATATTTCCAGATACTGGCCCCAATGGAATCATTATAATGGAGAATCAATTAGGAGGATTTCAAATAAATCTTTTTCAACCCAGATGATTCCCAAATTGACAGGGGTATTTATTGTAGCAGGCTGTCTCAACCAGCAGCATATCGTTGGCAACACCGAGGTGGAGCAAGCTTTATCCCTCCACTGGGCTTCCCACGATGAGGCCCAAATGCAGCCAGTAAATGGAGGAATCTATGTAACAAACAAGCAATGCGGCCATGAACCAGCAGAAAGCGCAGATGTTCAGAAATGATTAAACACCCTCTGACAATCAGACATGGTAATGGAAAATGCATCATTTTCCGTGTGCTTTACGTGTTTAATCTGTTAATATCTGTTATCACAGTTTCAACTTCTTCATTTACAGATGATTAACCCGTATTGACCTATATTGACCCATTAAAAACATGTTTAACATGTATTAAATTGTATTAACATGTTTTAACACATGTTCAAACGATTCATTTTAGCCAGTGGTGTATCTCCATAGTCTTCTCTTCGCGCAGGATCATGGCGCTCAAGCTCGGGCGCCGGCGGCTGCCGGCGCTAACCCCTTGAGTGCACCGCTGCTACCAGGTGGGCCACAGGTGGATGAGTTTGGATGACTTTCAGATCGAGCCGGAGAAAGGGAACCTAAAATATACTCGTATGATAATATGTGCTGTATATATATATAGTATTATACATATACATATAATGTATATACATATATATATATATTTATATACATTATTTGATATTATATAATATATAATGTTGTGTATTATATATATATATATGCATATTAGACAAGAAGTATAATAATCTGAAGCGTGGTTTGCCATTAATTACGCCACCACTTTTGGCCACAGCTCAGTTTTTTCTTGTTTCTGGAGATCTGGGTTGATTGTGGTTCTTAAAGCCAGATGGTCTAGTTGTTCAGCTATAATCGTATCAGTTACTATAGCTGTATCTGCGGTTTACTGTACATGTATAGTTTCCATACTATTTGAATCCAAACTCTATATAGGATCCAGTCAAAAATCCCTAGTAAGGAAAAGTAAATCAAGTTGCGAAAGTAATTCTAGACAATAGGTTTTTAGACTTCCTTATGTAGCGGGGCCCCAACTAAAGACAGCACTTCTACAGCTTGGCGCTAGGTTCGCGTTAGCAGTGCGCTAGCATTTTTTGGTTTTAAAAATCCCAGGAAGTAGTTGACTTGTACATTTGGCTTGGCATTGAATGGAAGTTTCTTCGTAGTACTGGTATTAGTATAGTATTAGTATTGTGTGGAATTTGCATGGTATTGAGATGATGTGATCGTATATGGGTATGTCTGGAAATGGGCTATACCCCCAATTATAGCCATAAAAAGTAGGGTTAGTAGGGATAATGATCAGCAAAACCATTGGTCATTAACCATTGGGATCCATTGGGTGTAGGGGTAACGATCATCTGTATCCAGGTCATGGGCGCAGCAGTGCTGCCACACACGGGAGCACGGCAAGGTGACCCAAGTTGTGGTTGGTGGCTGGTGGCTGCTGGGTAGTTGAATTATAATATATATATTAATCCAGACCACACGTATGATTATATAATTATATATATTTACTATAACTATAACTAAAATATATTATGTTTATTACTTTTTAAATATACATTACATTATACATTCATACATTACACGTGGAACTATGTTAAATTCTCAAAGTTTGGGGCCCCAAATCACCGAGAACTGAAGAGTTCATTCAAAGTATTGAGGGCCCCATTCTGAAATCAGCATGAAACAGCTGGAGCTTCGGGTTTATTCTCCCCAAAGCTAAAGGAAGTGGAAGTTGTCCTGTCACTCCCCAGATATTTTCTTCGTTTGGCCAATAGGCTGATCATACGCATCATGAGGGCTCAGGCTGGTTCACCCCAACGGAAGGGGAGTCCACGGATGCCCATTTTGCGATTGACTGGAGAGGGGTCTAGGTCCAGCCTACATGCTGAAGGTCAAATCTACAGTTGTTTATGGATTTGTATGTTTGGGATTGGTTGGGTAATTTATTATGATCTGAGACCTGAACTAGCCTGACTAAAGAAATGTGAGTAACATATCCAACCAAACAGGTGTTTGGCTCAGGATAATCTTCTGAAAAGGAAAACGGTTTGCGCCGATGCTTCCGGCATCTGAGGCAGGCGATTCGCCGGGCTCCATGGCGTTTGGAGGGCCCAGCCATGAGACGTTACTATTTCCATGTGCTTGGAAAGGATACTAAATCATCATATGGCCCGTGTTTGTTTTGGGTCAAAAGCTGAATGTTTGTGAACATTGGCTTGTTTTTTTTTCTGAATTGATGCAAGGTCTGCATTATTCGCACTTGACAGGGCGTTAATTCACGCCATGGAATGGTTTGCCTAGCTTGTGCCAATTCGCGGGTTCAGAGGATCCCATCCCATGTTTCCACATCAACAAAGGTCCCTTTGCACCCACGCATTGTCCCCTTGTTAGCCAAAAGTTTCAGTATACACTTGCAGGAAACCAAGATTGAACGGCTGAACATGAACTGGTAATACTGGCCCACCTTGCGAGCTCCATGTGCAATTTTGGTGCAAATCGAAAACACTTCCCGGAATAGGTTGCTGTAGAAAGTGACATGAGAAAAGAATGTGTCATTTCAGAAACGTGTTTGTTATGGTTTGTCCACCATGGGGTATACGGCATACTTCAAGAGATTGCCAGTTTTCTGGAGACATATGCAGAAATTGCTTTCTACAAACCATTGATTTTGGAACTATATATATATATACAGCCAATTTCCGCAGAAAACCCACGTGTTTGTTCCCACCATCCACCGTTGAGGTATGGCCTCTTCAGCCGCATTGCGCAGGGAATCAAACAGATTGGTTTTTCTGTGTCGGGCTCCTGATTCCATGTGGACGACGTGGAAGCCGGGGAAGTTTCAAAAGATCTTAGTTCAACCTAGTCTTGCGGCAGAACAATGATGAAGTTGTTGGGGCATTAAGATATATTTATATAGATTAAGAGAAGAGTTTGTAATTGTCGCAAACGGTCTTAGTGACTAGTTACTAAGCACACACTTTATATACTTTTGCCACTCTAGCATCAATTCCGTGGGACACCAAACACTGTTTCTAAAGAGTGTGTTCCAAAATCATATACTACAGCACAGCACATTGACCCAAAGTCAGGTTTGCTTTAAAATGGAAACAAACGATTTCCCCCCCTCATATTTGAGAGAATGGAAGACATGAGTCGGCTCCTGGCAATCGCAAAAGGTTGATATGTTGATAAACGACAAAAAACCTTGCACCTGCAGGTGTTTTTCTTGAAACCACCAGCCAGAGATGTCCATGAAATCTTAACAGAAATCACCATCGACGACCATCACTCTTCCAATCATCCTTGCAAGGTGGTATATATCCCGGTCATTCCTGGTCAACATTTTGTTGTGGCTAAGGCTCAGTCTGGTTTACACCTTCTTTTTTGGAACAGGCTTGGTGACCTGGGTTGCCAGTTCGGTCCCTTGTGATCCTTCGGGATGTGGCGTGAGCCTGTTCACCTCCGGATTGGTGATAGAACCACCGGAGATTTTGGCGAGATCGTGCACCAAGAAAAGCCCAAAAAAGGATACGGTAGCTGTCTCAGTCCAGCTGTTCATAGCCTTCAAGACTTGGTTTGCAAGTTTATAGATTTTATATGATTTTATAGGGGATCTGAGAGGCTCCAACTCTGGTCAGGTGGTGGAGCCTTGGGAAGCTCGGGAGCTGCCTTCAGGCGGGGATCTGGAATGATTTGGAGATACCCCCAAGTTTGACCTATCTCAAACCCAGACTACATCTATGAATTCTATGACCTGATCGGATCACTGCTGTGAGACAATGTTGCTATATGTTGCTATAGACTATAGATATAGAAACTTGAACCTTCCATAGCTCCAGACACGCCATAGAACAGTCTCGAGGGGTCAACTCCATACAAGACATCCGTGCAGTGGGTCTCAAGGGGATTCTTGACTGCATGCGGGTGAAGCGGTCGCCCTCCAATGTCCTTCGTGGCCAATGATGTCAATGACCTGAAACAAGTACTTGCAGGATCTTGCAGGGCTCTTTTGGATCGAGTAAAACTTTCCAGGCGATGTCATCGTATTGGCCGTTCCCAGCATCGCGTCCAACAAAATGGGAACTTCAAACTGCCAACACAGACCATTTTAGTACGGAAATCCAATCTATCCATTGGTTACCTTTGGCAGCAACCAGGCGGGCACTGCAGACTTCCTATGGAACTCCAGCCCTTCCTGAGTGGGGAAACTCAACTCCCAGTGTATCCTCTGGTACTATATAAGCTGGCAATAGAGCTCGGCCATCGACAGCTGTATAGAATGCTATAGATATCTACACGTAGATTAATTATACGCGTTGTTCCTCAAACAGTGTGTCCACACTGAGGGGTTCTTACGGTAGTAAGTAAGGCCGGGGTTAGATCAGGGTACGCTCTCTGGCCCCGGTATTTTTGCTGTAAATTCTCGCATAAAAGTGTCATTGTGAGATGTCTATGTGCATTTCGACTGCGCAGGCTCACACAAAGTGTGCACCTAAGTTTTGCTAGCGCGCTGTGTTCGTTTTTTGAGCTATGTCCATTTTGTGCGGCAGGCGTGGGACATCCGGGACATTTTGAGGTCGGAAACGTCGCCTTGCCAGCGCGATTTGCAAAAAACACCAGACACAAAGCACCCAAGATGAAGCATAGACATTTGGCCAAACGATTGCATACACTCCTCTTACGCTCCGCTTACGCGCATCCTGTCAGGGTCGCATGAACCTTGTCAAAAAGCGTAAATGCACCAAACATATGGAAACGCAGCCGTCTCCTCAGATACCAGCTTGGGATCCCTTGAGATGGGCATGGGCCTTTGAAAACAAAGAGCTTTTTGCAGGTGGAGCTGCGGTCACCACGGACCAATCGCATGCGGAGAGAGAAAACCACAGGTGATACTGAATCTGATGCGCAGTTGCAAGACCCATTGCTGTATGTGTTGCAGCAGCTGCGTGAGAACAAACCAGCTCAACAAGAGACAAAGCAGCGGAAGGTGCAACAAAAGCGCACAATAATTCATTACCATGCTCCAAAAATGCCTGAACGCCAAGTCATGCCAAGTCCACTGACGAGGACGCGGCAGATCTTGAGAAGTTTGCTTCCAAGAACGGCAAGACCCAAAGCCAATGGAATTCCAACTCTTGCGACCAGTCACGGTATGAGCCTGCCCAAGCGTCCCTTCCAGCAACTGGACAAGGGACCGGTCAGAAGATATCTCCAACTCCCTCTAGAAAAATCATTGGAGTGATTGGCAAGGAATGGGCTGCTGATGTGAAACTCTGCGACCTTGCTGCGATTCCCGCGGCCACCTAAACAGGGGCAGATCGTCCCAACACCAATGCCACCGAAACAAAAACCAAGGATGAAGTGACCAAACCCAAACGGCTATGGAATGTATATGGCTGTCCTGGAGCTATCACAGTCATTCTCACCATGAAAGACAGCACCAACGCGTTGAAGATGTCGCGCTCCTCGTGCTGGGCGCTTGAAACAAGGCTGCCTGGACCAAGCCGCCGGTTGTAATCGACGAGTCCTTGATCCCTACCGTTGGCAGATGCATACTCAGGGTCGCTGCACCCATCGAATACCGCCAGTTCCATCTCCAAGAGCATCAAGACAAACCAAGACATATTGTCGCTGAACTTGCCCAGTTGTGTCCAAGAACGTCGCCCTGTCCAACCTGACTGGAGGTAAGCGGAGGGAACAGGAAATTGACAAGCGAAACATGATAGTTGGCTTCTTGGGAATCCCGCGTAAACTTGCCACCAGAGGTAACTCAGTTCAGTGGAGCTCAAGGAATCTTCACCAACATTCTTGATTGCCAGCCTTGTCACAAGAATATCTACTGGTTCCGAAAGTAGCCAGCTGAAGATAGTGAACAATCCCTGATGTATTTGAGGTCCTTGCGATGAAGATCTGGAAGATGCTCTGTCTTTTGGTGTGCTTGCGCGAAAGCTGTTCTAGGAAGATCCTCTTCAGCAGCAGCTGGTCCTTGTATCAAGATCTTGTGAGATTCTCGTAGCGGTTCTGGCATGAAGATCTTGGTCAAGGTCTTCTACAGGCCCTTTTGAGAAGACCTTGTAGAGATCATGGTGAAATCCTCTAAGGAGCCCTTGCATGATCTTGTGCCGGTCCTTGTGAGAAGATCTTGTGGAGGTCCTGTTGAAATCCTCCCTAATAGGTCCTTGCATCAAGATCTCGAAGATGCTCTGCATTAGAGGTGCTTGTATGACAGCTCTTCTGGGATGCTCATAGGAAGTCCCCGTCGCCAAAACAAGTTCCTGCTGCTGCAATTACTTGCGATAATGTCTAATCTGATCTGTTACTGTTCCACAGCTACTGTTGCCTGTTTCTGATACGTTGATTTCCTACCCACACTGTTTGGGGCCTCTTGCCGGTGTATTTGTTCCTTGTTTAAAACCCCATTTATACATGGAGGATTTTCAGCTGCCATGTTTGACAACAGCAAGGTAAGCCCAATAATTATGCATCAAGTCTATAAGACGCAGTTGCGCGGTGGAAATTTAGAGTATTTGCGGGGTAGTTTGATCGAATTGCCTCAGGATGTTTTTGTATTTGATCATTTTTGTGGTCCCAGTTTGATCCAGGGCTCATGCTTCTGTATCTGGCTTCCACTGGTGGATCTTCTCATCTTTAATCCTTGCAATGGGTAGAAAAGCAAAGAAAAACATTGCAAATGATGGTGGATCCGTTTCATCGTTCAGTCCATTTGAATGCCACATGAAACATCCTCATCATAGTCAATTCCTCTGCATCCTGGGTTTCCATCCAGACATTCCGTGGTGCTGAGGTTTCATGATGGATCTTTCTCCCAAGCAGTCACCAGAGCGCGACAAGACCTGAAACTTTTGGTGGTTTACTTGCACAGCAACTCGGTTTCAGGAAAATATGGTACAGCTATATGGCCTGGTAAGGATATTGACATTGCTATGATTGGTCTTAAAGTAAGGTATATAAGATAACAGTTGGGTAGGTAATCAATGGTAGGTATGTTTAGGCCCAGGCACCTCGTTTCGTTGTTCCTTATCCATGTTGTCATGTACTCATTTTGCGTATGTATTTTTTTTGGTTCCAGTGCTGTGAAAAGGGGCTTTGGGCCGAGCTGATGGTCGCTTATTGACACAGTATCTTGGGAGTTGTGGATACTGTAGTTAACTTATTTGCTTCTTTGGTGTCTGGAACATAAATTGCAGTAATTCTGGGCCCAACTTCGAACACATTCGAACACTACGCACAAACCCTTCAGAAAGATGATGCCATCCAGCTTTTGGGTGGGGTAACAAGTGGGTGACAAGTGACCTGGTAATCCCATGTGCCAATGATGGCCAATGATGGCCGGTGGCCGTTTGCCGTCACATGGCTGGCGGTCCCCGAGGTGAACACGCAAGGTGCAAGTCTCAGCTGCGGTGATGTGGTGCAGCAGTGTGAGTAAGGCCTGTTTTTCGTTCCTATCAGCCTGGCATTGGAAAATGCCCTGGTCATCCCTGATCGATGATGCAACCTTGGAAGTTGGTTTCTTGTGATTCAGAGAACACCGGGACCAGAGTTTTGTTTCTAGATTGTATGTGTGTGATGGTGAAACATGGAAGGAACTGCAGAAACGCTAGGCATTTTACTCATGATATACTATATGAATGAGCTGGTTAAGAGTCGAAAATCATCCAGCCCCTCCATGTGTAGATGGGTATGCTGAAAACCTCAATTGACATTTTTGCCTACCCTTTTGGTGGTGTCAAGTATGTATTTATCTTGTCAATCCTTATCACATGTTCATCCAAAACTGGGATGAAATTTCTCATTTTTTCTCCCAAATGATATAAATTGACACGGATGGAGTGAGATGGACAAGGCATGGCAAGGCAGGTGGGTTTTCAGATCACTGAGACACCGAGGCACTCCCAGAGCGTGTGCAGCGATGTGTTGGCCAACGAGGTCATCCGCACGGTGCTGGATGAGAATTTCATCCTCTGGGGCGGTGATGTGGCCCGCATGGAAGCACATCAGGCGGGCTGATCTGAAGGATCTGAACGCAAAATGACAGGAACAGGGAAACAGGTTGTCATAGTTTGTTTTCTTCAATTTTGTGCAGTTTGATTTTTTTTGGACAGGTGGAGTGGGGAAACCATCAGCAACCATGAGCAACCATGAGGAGACGATTGCGTCCAGTACTAGCAGCAGTAGTAGTAGCCTGGAGACCAAACCTGGCAACGTTCAGCCAAATTTTCAGTTTGTGCCTTTTCACCGCAGAGGAATGTCATAGGAACATGCCACACATCACCGGCCTTCAAGACTTGGGCAGGTTGCAAGAATGATTCATGCTAGACAGTTCCTTGGCAGATGGCAACTCCTTGTGGACAAGAGCGGAAGATTGGTATCAGACATGATGCTATCGTTTAGTCCGGTCTGCTCAAATTTGGTTTATCAGTGCTGTCTCTTTTTTTGTCGGGATCACATAGCGCTGGCGCCTGAGGTTCCCGAGTTTTTGTGTGTTGCTCCCCGCCAGCGTGGAAGAGATCCGCGTCATCGGCCGCTGGGACATATGGCTCTGGCTCAGCACCTAGGTGATAGATATGTTGGATAATGTTGGATATTGTGAGATATAAATCTCTGACGGGTGCGAATAGCCGAATATGCTTGGTCCCACTACTATCCAAGATCTGGTTTGCATTGAATTGTCGTGGTGAGCTTTGAAGTTGGACTTTGGATTGCGGGGGAGAGACACCCGTGGTTCCCACATGGAGACTCTTTCAAGGGTGTCACATTCTTTCAAGTATTTTTGTTCAAGACCCCAGACCCCACTGGACCCACCATGAGGGGCGAATATCCTACTGAAAGGGTCAACAGAGGTTTTGGTTATATAAATTGATTGAATAGGATGACCATGGATGACCATCATTAATACATCATGTAAATATTTTAGAATTATGATGAATTATGCAAATGTACAACCGTAATTATGTATTTTGTGTTTGGATATAACTGCAACAATCTGCAACAGTTTTTTTGATCAGACCATAGCACATTTCTCAACCTTTTGCTTGTGTGCATGTGTGTGTGCAAAGCACAAAGGATATTCAGGCAAAACCATTGGAAATTCCATGACTAAGAGAGAGGAGGCATGGATGAAGGATGACAGTTTTGGCCGGGTGTCTCTTTTTCTGCTGATGCTCACAGCGACTAGGACCAGCATCTATGCTCATAGTATCCTATGGTAGAGTCACAGCATGCCACTACAAATTCAAGCGGAGAGATCCAGGCAATGGTTGAAACATGGAAGATCAAAATCATTGCGAACCAGAGTCATGGTCATCACCATAAGGTGAGCGATAAAGATCCGACCCCAAGGCGTGATAATCCATTTAAGCTGTGCGCATTTGGCGGTGTGATTAGGCTTCCAATCTATCGTACCCCAAAAGCCGTCATTCAACCATTTGGTTCGGACTTTGGACAATATTTCAGAAATCTCATCTCATCACAAGATTGTAAGATTCCGAAAGTCCCATCTCATTTTACATCATAATGCGCAACATTAGAACCCATGTCACCACTGTATTTTAAAATGGTCAAGATCAACGGTGCCATCCCATTTTTGGTGGGTGAAGACTCCATGAAATTTTGGATCTGAACCCAAGGCGCCCTTCACGGGCAGATTGAAGCTGAAGGGGCGCAAGCCCTCCTAGCAGCTTGCATGGAGGTGTCTGTGGGTGCAGGGCAGAGAGAAGCTATAGTCGCGCAGTGAGAATAGGATGTGGAATACTATACTAATCTTATCATGAATGGGAGGGAAAGATCCATCCCAAACAGCGGGTTTTGTATTGGTTTTACAACAGGAGTAAAACATAATTATATGATATTATATGATGAATTATAACTTACGTCGCTTTCGTTCTTTCTGACTAATTATACGGTACTGGAAAAAGTTGGCAATTGAAGATGCAGGTGGTTTTTGCACACCAGATGACTCAGAGCATGGTCGCTAGTCATGATCAGTCGGTGTTTATCAGCAATAACAGATTATGATTGCTGTAATGCAGTAATGCATTTCAAAAGCATCGAGAAAATGTGAACAAGCACCAGGGCAAATTTTGAGACCTAATTGATCTACTGATTCTTGACAATTCAGCCATTGATTGCTGGTAACAATTTTGCTGGAAGAATTGTGCCAGGAAATGGAGACTCACCGCGCAGAGATCGTGGCCCAACAGGCGACATTGACGTTGGCAATGTTTTGCCCAAAGAAGGATCCATTCAATACTAAAAATTGTTGGGTTACCATTTGCCATAACAAATTCAATACCAAAAAGAGTTGTTCTTAATGTTTGTGCAGGACAGTGGTAGATGTTTGCAGACCGGTCTTTTAAACCTGCTTGCATGTGGTCCATGGCCACGGGTTCCTGCCACAGGTGCAACGAGTTGAAGATCGCTACTTGCGAGAGCAACAAGACCGTGACTTGCTTATGGATGGAGTTTGCATCTTTTCCATCCATAAGTTTGTGCTCATATAATATATCGCTGATGGTTATTTGCTTTGATACAAAGTCCCATTATTTCCCAATCATTCCCAAAACATTCCTGGGTCTGTTTGCTACAATGGAATATGCCCTGAAGCAAATGCGCCCAAGCATTTGTATGTGTTTGCTGGACATTTACTCTGATTTTTTTGGTAGGGGTATAGACATCCAGTAGACATGTGTACCTACTTGTAGAGGATTGTAAAAAGATCGCACAGCTTGAGAACAGTTGACTTTGGCGTACCTTGCGTGTGGATTGATCAACTGGTCTAGTGGTCCAATGGATTCCCTGCTCCAGTCGTACCGGATCGGGTGATCCGAGTCTCCCCTGCTTTGGGCAAGCCCATCCCCTGCTAGTTGATCATTATCAGTATCGTCAGTATCATGAAACCGGGTTCCCATCTATTGCAGAAAGATTAGCCCTTGGACCCTTGGAATTGACCTGATGATCATCCTGATGGAACCCCCATTGGGTGGGCTGCGCTGGGCCAGGGGAATACCAGGAAGCTTTGGAAATGGATAGAAGCTTGACTGCAAAAAATGGGAAATGCGTCGGGATAACTCGTAGCAACCTCAAACATCCTCAAACCATGATTGTAACCTGGGAGAGCCATCAAAATAAGTTGCCTTAAACCGGATTTGGGATTCTTACTACTAAGCACTATATCCAGATTGATTTGTCTTCAAATCATTAGCATTAGGGTAGCGGGTGGATTCTGCAGAGATGAGTCCAATATCCACATTGATAATCATTGATATCAATATCTATCAAGCTCTGTGGCATTTCCTCCTTTACCAAACAATGTTGATGTGTTGAATTCTGCGCATTCTGGCATATTGTGACTGGATAATCGCTCCACTGTACATACTCACTCGGGATTGGCCCTTTGTCACCGAACTGAGCGAGGAAGACGCGCGGAGGAGCGAGAAGCCCAAAGACGGCAGGAGGAGGAAGAACGACGACAGGCTGAGATTCTGACTGAAATCAGTCTGTGTAGACGGTCTTCACAATGGATAACCCGGCTGGAACTGAGGTAACGATCCTGTAGCTAACCATATTTATATATTCGCACAGAACCGGACGTTTGCCCGGAGCCCACGCCTGTCCCACAAAATGACTTTGTTTCTCAACGGACCTTGAGGAAGTCTGCGAAGGGTTGTTGCCGAGAGTTACTGGGAAACTAGACACGTGGCGTTGTACATGGTAAATTCATTATTAATTATACCCTTTTACGTATTGTTTTGGGTGGTGGCAGATTTGGACCCTTTATGACCCTTTATGTAAATTGTTTTTCAAAGTAAGCCAATGATTATACCCTATACGTATTGTTTCCGGGGGGTGGCAGATTTATACCCTGCATTCATTTAATTTTACAGATCAAATCCATTATTATACCCTTCTACAGATTGTTTGAGAGGGGTTGGCAGATTTATACCGTGTTTTTTTTTCTACCCAGTGTTGAAGATGATGAGAGAGATGTGAGAATTGTGGTACAAGTGATAGATTATATTTGTTGCTGGAAGTTGCATGCAAATAAAGAATCAGTTGGTTAATGTTGATGGTTTTTAGTGCCGTGATCAAGATGGCCGAGTGCAAATACCTATGAAGAGGTTTGATGTTATCATCATGAAGGTTGGCTGCAAATGTCAGATCGATCGATCGATAAAACAGAATTCGCGCCCCGTGGCGTTCGTTCCTACAAATTTGATGATTTGTTGATGAAAATTGCCATAAATAAATACAAGCATAATTTAAAACTGTGAATTGAAATGCTTTGGGGTAAGATGCCTCAAATAACATTGCAAGATTCATACTTGCATGGCTCAAGTGTCAAAACGGCCGTGCCCGCGCTTTACTGGGTTAAGAGCCTTGCAGCCATTGGCAATCCTTTGCTGAACTCGCCAACTGCATCGAGTGACATCGACAAGCACCAACTGCGCTGATTCTGGGCAAAACTCCGCAACTTGACCTGAAAGGTTGATAAAGGTTGTGGCTTCTGGTCAGTTTAGTTGGATGTCGTCGTCAAGTCCGGAATTTACAATGGGTTCTTCTGTTGACGGTTTACCTGCTTTTGCTAGTCAGGGGGCCTCAGGGTGAAGAAAGATAGACTGGCTGAGAAAGCCAGGGAGTCGCCTGTGCCCCACGCGGCGTCTCACAGGGGGCTCTCCTGGAGGGAAATGGTTGCTGAAGCTAAGGGAGAACATGCACTTGAAGACATGGACACAGGTTAAGTGATGCTTGGAACTCAGAGTCCGGACCCTAGTGGAAATTCTGGTCCGGAACCTATAGCATTCCAGACACATCCAGCACCACCAACACGGTTCAGCAATATGTGGACCAGCGGCAAATTCATAAGCTCCTCACGCAGTCATGGAGGCTAGGTCCCAAACCATGGAAGCTAGGTCTCAGACTATGGAGATTGGTTTGGCTGCCACAAGCCAAATCATTCAACAAATGAGGGATGAAATCGTCGCAAGGGATGCGCCATTAGCCGTTGCACATGAAAGGTCCAAGTTGCTAGAAGCGCAGTTGACCGAGAAATTTAAAGAAGTCGATATGTTGAGGTCAAATCTCCTACAAATGACTAGTGGCCAAAATGATGCTGGGAACATGGAAAACGCTTTCAACATTAGAATCACCCAGATCGAGCTAGGACTAGATCTGAAAGGCGTGTTTCAGTCTATGGAATCTGGAAGAGTGGTTGCAGTTGAAAGAAGGATCCAAAAGCTGGGTGAAAGCTTCAAAGGTATGAGAACGACCTGTGAAGTTGAAAGGGGCCGTAGCACCATCCAGGATTTCACGCTGAGGTTCAAGTCATGAAGCAAGATGATTGGTGGGAACATGAGCCTGTGGGGGGTAAATCTAAAGAATCCTACCCCTATACCCAAAGGGAGGAAATCCACTGTGATCTGTTCGGGGAAAGTGGCCAAGAGGAACATGACAAGGGTACCGAGGCCCAGGGATCCGCAAGTGGGAATGGTAACCTGGATGTTGAATCATCTTCTGTAAGAAAGAAAAAATTGTATCATCTTACAAGTCCGCAGTTCGGAAGGATAGCTTTCTGCCTGGGTGACTGAGGCTTTAAACGCCAAGACAACCACTGAGAAAGAAACTCTTAAGATTTCTTCCGGGATGTTTCCTCGTTTTGATCGTATTCTTACAGCTGCTTTGTGTAAGCCAGAGCATTTGCGCTCAGCTTTTGGTGTTCGGTTTCAAGCTTATATTGAAGAGAGCGAAAATGAAATGCAGTTTCAATTCACGAAGCGTTGAAATATCCCCAAACGAACAAGAGATTACCCAAATGCGCTTTCAGCTGTGGTAAAGGCGAAACGGAATCCAAAGGTAAAGGCAAAGAATCCAAACCTAAAGGCAAAGGTGACACCAAAGGTGCTTCAAAGGCCAAGGGTAAAGGGGATTCAAAGGGTTCTCCAGAAAACACCATCAAAAGACAGATGGCTCCTCGCAAGACTTAACTACTGAACAGAAAGCCCAAATGCCTTGCATTTACTTCGCCGACTTCGCCCAAGGTAAATGTTACCGGGATCAGTGTCCTTTCAAACACGAAGTTTCCGCCGCGCCTGCCACTGAGACTGTTCCAAAGTGATCCTTTTACCCTGCGGTGGCCACGCCAAAACCTAAGGTTGCCCCTGCAAAGCCAGGTTTGGTAGCTTTGTTGGCGGATACGGTTAGAGCTGCCACGGCATCTTTGCCGCCGATGGCTTCTGGATCAATGTTCCATGATTTCGTTGGGGATACAGGTGCTGGGGAGTGGTTGGGTAGCTGGTCTGCCTTTCACTTTCACAACCAAGCCATTGATGATCAGCAACTGGACTGTTGGGTTGGGAATAGTCATCAACCTCTCCGCTTCACAACCGGGGGAGGAACAAAACCTGCTAGGTCAATTGGTCTCATGAAACTCAGCGGATGAGTAACCTATACATGTTGGAAGACTGCCCGCTTGTGCTTTCCACAGGCCAACTTGTCAACAAGTCACGATTTTCTTGTCAGTGGGAACATTCTCGACTCCCATGGTTACAAAGCCTAGATGGTGAATGTGTCCAAGCGCACCATGCTGATCACAATGTTCCCATTTTCCGTTTCCAGTGTGAGCTTCAATATGGTCTTCCTTTACTTCCCTCGCCGGGAGGGGGAATCCAGAGATTCAAATTCAAGCCGTTGCTGTGTTGGTTATAGCTCAGCTCAGGCATCAGATGGGTTTCAGGTAAAAGAAGGGCTATGCAGGTCCAAACGGTGGTGTTCACTGACGATCGGACTTTCAGGCTTGGCAAACATGGAGTGCACGGTCAGGTGGGGCTCAAAGAGTCTACTGGCAAAGCCCAGGTCGCGGCAAAATCTGCCAAACAAAAAGGCGAACTTCAGGGTTCGTGTCATGACAGGATTCAGCATTCGGAACACTATTTATGGGGCCATCACTAGGGGCAAACCAAGGAAAAGTAGCGCCAAAGAATCTGAATGGATGAGTGCTGCTGTCAGGTGTCTGAGCCTGCTGGGTACCCTCAAATTGCCATATGCTGTTCATTCGTTACGCACGCATGTTTGGGGTGTCGATGATGTCTTATGGGTGTTTAGCTAGCCTAACTTCCCACTTTGTGGGATTCCACAAGACTTCAGTCCACCATCAAAAGTGGTCAAAGAACCGGTCTCATGGCCAATGCGTGGATCGGGGCCATCATCTATGGGGGGCACATCACTTGGACTGCATCACGGCTACGCAGTTGTTGAGGGTTGTGGCTACATTGGTCGCTATAAGGGTACGGTCACTTGGAAGTCGGGTGTGGGTTGCCCCGTGCACAGCCTACGCAAGTGGTTCAAGGACAGAGGTTGGACAGAAGCTGGTGAGTGGCATTGGACTCATTCTTCGAATCGTCTCGACATTCACATGCTTGACCCGAGATTCGACATTAGTCAGTCCATGCACACGTTGAGGGATGGTTGGAAACTTCTTGGTGTTGGGATCAGTTTCTGAATGGAAGCATGCAGGCATGAAGCTCCTCAAATTGCTCAGCCAATGGCTTGAAGAGCTGCTGAGGATCAACTTCAGGAAGTTGCGGCAGACCATTGAAGCAGATGCTGCCGCAATGGCAGTCGCAACGCTTGCTACAGTGTCGCCAGCGTGGTTCAAGGACAGGGCACACATTCGCAGCCCTCACTGTTTGTGGTGCTCAGAGACTTTGGCTCATGGGCACATTTGTGCTGGCTCTGTCCTCAGAGTCCACTGATCTCACATCGGCTTCTTCCTCTTCCATCTACGCTTCTCATTCGTAGTTTGGGTTGGACGTCAGGGGGCCAGGAAGTCCTGATGTATATGTATATGGCTATGATTCAAAAAGTGCTCTGGCATGAGCAACATGGGCGTGCATGAGGTCTTGCTGTGATCTCTTTGCACATGTGTCATTGGGAGTACTGTGGTATTTCATGGTGACACGATGGAAACCGAAAACGCATCAGCATGTGATGTCACTGAGGGAACTTGAGGGTACCACTAAGGACAGTGCACCTGTCTAACTGAGGTTCTGAACTTTCGAGTTCATCAGCTCATGTGTGTAGAGCTGTCGTGTTCATTCATGATGCATGGGCTGGTGGCTTGCTGCGCTGTAGCGGAGCAGCTGGTGGATGGCAGTTTGCGGCTTTGCTGCTGCTGCCTCGGCGGCCTGCCTCATCGACATGCGGCGCTGCAGCATAATAACCTATTACTGCATCAATGCCGTCACCAGCATTTCCTGCGTTTGGCTTGATGTTTGCACGTCACAAGCACGGAGCGGAACCCTGGCCGGGGGGGTTCCATTCCTCGCGCGGTTGATCGGACCTACGCTTTGGGCGTAGGAATGTAAGGCCGAACCGTCCAGGGGAGGGAATTGAAATGCTTGGGCATATTCACGAATGCAAGATTCATACTTGCATGGTTTACGTGTCAGAATGGCCGTGCCCGCGCTTTACTGCTGTGAAGCTGCAGAAGGCCATAGAAGACCAACAGCCCAATCTGTGACAAATCCATTCAGCAAGGCCGAAGAGGAACAAAGAAAGGCCCAGGAGGAGATGGAGAGGCCCAGATTGGAGGATTTTGGAGGTAAAGTAAGGCAGGAAGACCTTAGGTATCGAACAGCCCCCAAATTATAATATATTATAATTATAATTATAATTATCACATAGTCTCATATAGCCTCAACAGGTCCCGACCATTCATAAACTGGTGTTTTTGTGCGCTGCATTTGTATGGATAGACAGACGTGCATAGACTCCATTAATTAGATTGCGTAGATTCATGAACAAATAAGGAATATATAATAAGGGCAGATATAAGGTGTACATTCTCACTGCTGCACTGGTCTCGTGGGGCGTAGTGGGATGGGTATTTTGACAGTCGTCATGGATCTGATGCGACGAACAGTGGGAGCCCCCAGTTTCAGCACAGGCAAGACGTTATTTTTTTCAGGTGGAATGCCAAGCGTATTAGTTTTTTTGTTACAATTCCTGTACCGTTTTGTAATCAAACCTAGCGCAGCAAATTGTGAAAAATAGATAAAAAATAAAAAATATTGTAATTGATTATATATGTTCATTAGTTTTGTGTGTTATTTTTCTCTCCATTCATACCTATTCCTAGGTGATTTTCCTCTCAAGGATTTCCACGCGGCCAGGCAGCTGAAGCTTCAACAGGAACTGGAGGTGGGTACCCACACCTTGTCCCGTTGGGAAAATTGGATGAAATGTGTAATTTGGGGATGTGTCAAAAGCATTCAAAAACTATGGAAAAACCATATTTTGGGGGGATGAACATCCATAAATCCCGGGGCACCAGGGTACCAATTTCAATATTTCAATACTCATAATGTGGCTATTGGAATTGGATGAAACGGAGTGGATGTGGTGTGAGCGAGTTTTTTGAGATGTTCTGCCGTCAAATTGTGAGGGCTCCAAGTGAGAGTTTGGAAGTACAGTACATATCATTCAAAGCACAAGAGGGCGGGATGGGTTTGAACTTGACACCCATGGCCCATAACGCTCCAGACTCATGGATCTGAAATGCAATGGTTTTGGATCTCTAATTCTGACATGTGCCTATTGCAAAGTCAGCCTTGTGGGCCGTACTTGTTTGCATGGATCCGCATGGTGTTTTCACCTCGACCGGTCAGATTTGCACCATCGGTAATTGCATTTTTTCCCCCAAATCGACATGGGCAGATCATTCATCGTGGAAAGAACACTCAAAGATGATCAGATAACAATGGGGTAAACATGCAATGGCATGAATAAACATTTGATAAACATAGGATAAGTGACAAAATGGACCCCAAATCATCAAAAGCATCTCACTTTTCGGGAGAAGTCCGGCTCTATGGCCCAATGTATCCATGGAATTTCCCGATTTCCAGGCGAAACGCCGAAGTCTGGCCGCCCAGCTGCAGAGTGCCAGCGGCACGGCGCGCCTGGCCTTGCGGCTGCCGTCAGGTGCTGCGATGTTCAACGGCCAAAAAAACTGAGAATTTGATAGAATTTCACCCAAAACACAGACTATCACTCCGAAACAGCCAAGATCCAAGATGGAGATGCTGACCAATATGTGTATACATGATTTATAGATGCACACATGTCATACATCTATAAGATTCTATAAGCAGGTAAAGCATATCGCGCCCATGAGTCCCTGGATCGGTTTAAGGATGTCCAAGGAAAACATCGCCGGAAGGTTTGCACCATCCCTATATATGTGATCAGTGAAATTTACTGTAGTGCAGTCGTGTGCATTCCAGATCTGCGAATGGGTTGACATTTCCTTGAGCTCAGCGTTCATGGGTAGGACAGCGGGTGGAGAGAAAGTTTGAGCCCACCGCAACGTTGCAAGAGGTCTATGAAACTGGAAGCACTAGCGGCTGTTGCCTGGAGGGTGGGTCAACAGTAGCTCCAGTTTCAGCTCACTTGAAAGGACAAGGGTAAGAAGTAGATATGGCTATGGAAGGGGGGTGAATCAGAAACAGGGTCTGGGACTCACTCTTTCAAACAGGACAAACTGGGAAAATGCGTGAACATACAATTTCTGCTCTGGGACCATGTTATCGTATATATATGATTACATTTACATACTGTAATATTACATATAGATACATACAGACTATAGATATATGATTATATGAGCAAGGGTCAAAAGACGCTATGAAAGGCTTCAATTACGATCCGCCATCACTACTCAAAATATGTGATTTACTGTGTGTAGCGATAGGGGGCCTTATGTAGCGATACCTCTTTTTAGACTTTGTTTATGATTGAAGCTTCCTGTTGGGCGCATGACTTTCCAATCTTTTGATGTCAGAGTGCGACACTGGAGCAGTCGCAGTGGGCTGGTCTTCCTGGGTAGTTGCAAGATGGCCTGTCGTCAAGTATATATGAGATAGTTACATTAAACAATATTGATATATTGGGGTATGTTGATCTATAAGGTATGCAAGAAACTAATTCATAACGCATCATGAGCTTGATGATGGTGATGATGCTGATGATGATGGTGATGGTGATGATGTTGATTCAGATAGTGACCGTGCTGAGATATGTTGAAAAAGCATCCTTGTGCGGTCACGGACGCTTCTCCAAAGCCACTGTCCAGGAGTAGAATTGCAACATGGAGCTTGTCAGAATTTCGTGTCACTTGAAACATACACCTGAGATCACACATTTTCTGGTCCCCGTAGCGATGCCCGAAGCGATACCCCTCGATACCCAGAGCGATACCTGAAATCCATGAAATTAGGGAGTACCCCACATGGTCACTTGAAACTATACAACTTGTGCTATAGGTGGAAAAATATGGGAAGTATGAACAAGGGTACCCTCAAGTTCTTACTGGGTTAATTCTTAAAGGGTTCATTTGGTCAGGGTTTTGCCGATTCATTTTGGCGTGGTATTAGGTTGCAAAGGAGGCGGGGTGAAGAAAAAAAGGCGCCAGAAACAAGGCAGCACAGGCAAGACAAGCCAAGACAAGCCAACACAAGCCAAGGGCAGCCTCCGAGGTCAGATGACCTGCAGTGAGTCACCATCGCAAGGGGAATAAGAATCCGATTCCTCATCTGGATCCTCCTCTTCTAGCAGCAATTCTGCCTAGTTGGTGAAAAGGGTGCTGGGACTGTGTGTAGCGATAGGGGGCCTTATGAAGCGATGCCATGACCTCACCACATGAATTGAGTTTTGACCGTCGCACATATGATATATGATTATATGATTGAATGATCACATACAAGTACATAAAACTGATCGACATTGATTAATTAACTGTTGGATCAAGTGGACCACTGGTGGCTCCCACTCAGCCCACGCCCTAAGGATTGGGCCTCCTGCGTGGCCTTCCTGCCGGAAAATTCAGACAAGGTGATGGCGATGTTCACGGGTCGATGTTTCGTTTTCTCGGCTGTACTGATTTCCGTTTGGACTCTAGGCCTCACCCACCAACATTTTTTCTATATATGGTTTCTTCCAATGAATATTATGACACGATGGATTCCCCAAGTTCTCCGGGACGTGAGGGGGTAAAACAGGAAGGTCGAGGGTCGCAGATAGTCCGTCAAGTAGAGTCAGTCCAAACGCCAAATTCCTTGTTGGTGTTGCATATCTTCTCAATCCCTTTCAGAATAGGGATGATGAATGATTTCCAGTGTCCAGGTGATGGGTTAATCAGGTCTTTTTTGCCAATCGTACCCTGATTTTCCCCAACTAGACACCCAGAAACCCATGCGATGGTCATTGGTCCAGGGGATTGAGATCCCTGAGCGCTTTGTTTTGAAGACCAGTTTCCCTGCACGAGATCTGGACGAGATGGATCGCAACTGGGACCTGGCATGGAAAAGAACCAGGTCTAGTGGGAAAAAAAATGGTAGAAACGAGTTGGATTCTCCATGTTGCAAGTGAACCAACTGTAAGACCAAAACTGAGTAATGTCAACAATGGCAAACAATGATATTATGATATTGATTCTTGCCTGCTCCTTAAGATACTCGAAGCCCCCAAAGTTGTGGTTCCTTCAGCCTGGATTGACAGTTACTCAATGTTATATATATATAATATATATATGTGTGTGTGTACACAGTTCGGTAAATCCCGAAATTTGATGAAATGTGTCCAGGAGCAAAATCGCCGAAGAATGAAGACGTGAGACCAAACAACTGGCGAAGAACTCACAGCGTTCTGAACCAGATTCAACTGGATAGGTTCAGAATACCATGAGATTTTACCATGAGAATACCATAAGAATACCCCAAAGTTGGATGGCTATACCATGCTATACCCAAACTGACCAAGCTGGTTTTTTTTCACGATCGCTGCCGAGGCACCGTGGATGAATTGAAGTTGAGTGGAACCAATATCCTTCTTGCGGCCATTGAGGCAACGGGGAACATTGATCCATGTGATCCATGTTGATCCATGTTTGGACCATTTTGTACCATTTGTTTAAGACTTGCCAGTGAAGATTGGGCTGGAAGCAACTTGGGGACAGCGATCGGGTAGACCGGGTGTGCTATGGCATGCTATTTTTGAGCTTGCTAGTTTGGTACAGTTGGAGAATCGCCAACAGCTACTGCCACAGATTGCGTCAGGATGACTGAGGGCCGCCAGGATCGCAAGAATGGCCATGGTAAATCCATGGCGTAGCCAGGTTTCATCCACGAATCATCCACTTGAATCCCATCTCGCTACGCGATTTGGATGTAATGAAGATTAAGAATTGGAAGTAGAGTTTAGAGTTCAGAGACACGTTCAAACCTGTATCGTCTCCTGTTTAAGTGCATTCAATGTGTTTGGATTGTGTGTTTCAATACTTGCAGCGCAATGAGATCTAAGCACCAACTGGCAGGATTTGATTTTAACCCATGATGGGCAGATGTACATAATGCATCATAATTCTATGGACATTTGAATCAATTTATGTAAATCAATCTAAATCATAAATCTGCTTGCATGCGCTGGTTGATACCGATGCTAATATCAGAGGAAACATCACCACTGGATGGAACTATGGAGGTTGGGCGAACCATTCTTGTCTTGTTTGGGTTGATGACCACTGAAAACTTCTGAAAACAAATTATTGATGCTGGAATGCAAGCTGGGACTTTTATAGTTCTATACATTTACAATTGTTTGCACTCAAAGATCATAGTTGTGTACAATTGGGTCACTCAAAGATCATAAATGGGTGTAATAATGCAATCATAATTGGATGTATGTCATGACCACAACACTTCAGCTGAAGCTTTCGGGCCTATGTGGCGGGCCCCGCCAGCTGGGCGTTTCGTCAGCTTGTGAAGCGCTGCTCTTTTCCGCTCGAATCTCTGTGCGCGGCCGCGCTTTAGCAAACCGGCAACGTTGCCCTCTTGTGTCAACAGCAAGAGTCAGGGCATGCTAGTGCACTCAACAGAACCACAACTTAATTGAGATGTTGCAATATGAAACTATATCCTGTGTTTGTTCATGCTTTGTCTTTACATACTGTAGATATTTTGTTGTGTGTTTTGGACCAATATATTCAAAATATACGACATATAGATCTTTTGCTGACCAAACTCCTGTCGGTAACAGCACCCTATCGGTGCCGGTGCAGACCGCCTGGTCCATGTCTGGAAAACAGCGAAGTGGTCAGATGGGGATACCATGGGATACCAAGCCCCGAATTCCGAATGGATTCTCCAGTCCCAAGCTTACAGAACAATCATGCTGCAATTGCTTGGATGCAAAGCATGATTATGAGTAAAATATGACCAATAAAAGTATCTGTTTCTCCTCCTTGGTAGAATTTTCAACTTGACGGTCTAGAGTCTACATCGCATGGTTGTTTTTGTTAACGTGTTTTGTAGGTGAATCCAAAAACCAAGAAATGGATCAAATGGGTAGTTTCACATCATTTCACATCGATGATCCACACCTCTGCCATTTCCTCCAAGGCATCTCTGGCAGAATTCCCGGACGCCGTAGAGGTGGATTTGCACTGGAAGACCATGGATGGCTCAAATGTTGGGTGGTTTTTAGTTTTTGATGTTTTTTTTAGCACGGACCATACCTCATTTTTGGATTTTTTGTCGTATCCAACTGTGATTATGTTTGACTCTCATGTTCGTTAGTGAGATGATAGCCGCTACACTGGGGGATTTCTAGGGTAGGGCTAGTGATTGCCAGCGAAGCCTGCTACTGGGCAACCGTGATAGGGGTCAAACTTTCAGTAGCACAGTGAGCAGACAATGAACCGCAGCGAAAAGCGAGTGTTGCGATGTATGACAAACCATTCTTTGATTAATGCAACAAACTTCATCTCTTGTATTGTGCCGGAAAGGTTCTCATGGGGTGGATAGGGAAACTTGGACATGTTTTTGTGCATGTTAGTTGTCCGAGTTTCACTGCCGATCGTGAGAGTTAGTTCTGGTGGCTCCTTCAGAAGTGTACCCAAGTTTGCCCAACAAGATTTGGAATACTTTGGAATCACTTGCAATACTGGAATTGGATGGAATTGGAATTGCTCCATCTACATGTTCAGAGGTTTTAGTTCACCCTGCTCTCGGTTGTACAATCCTTGTGCGAGTGCTTAACAATTCAATGGCTTGGTCTTTGAGTCATTGCTAAAACATTCACCAGAAAAGCTTGTTTGATGGGCTGTTTCTGTTTGCTTGGTTGTATCTCCCCAGTCTTGTTGCACCAGAACCTGATCCAGGCCCTATTTCTGCAGCGCGAGCTGACCAGCGATGGGAGGTGTCAGGTGCTGGGTTCATGGTGAACCCTCGAGCAATCCACGCAGGTATGGGGATATCCTCTATAGAACTTTGCAAACAAACTCTCTTTTAAATGGAAAAAAACATCAATGAAAATCCACAAGATATTCCGTTGCCAGTTCAGCTTTCCAGATTATAGGTTCCCCATGGTTCCCCAAATTGCCAGGTGAAACTGCATGACGCACGGTGCAGGATGGTGACCCTGGCGGCTGGGGCCTCATCACCGAGTAATTCATGATATTCATGAACGATAGTGGAGGCATGTGTTTTTTTCCAGAAAGTTCTATGATATCCATTGATATCCTATATGATATCCATTTGATATCCTATATGAGATCCTATGCCCTATATATACCGTACATACCTATGAAATTGTTGGATCAATTTAGCACGGAACCGAAGAAGTGGCCCCAGAGGGGATCCTGCGGAGGTGGATGAGTTTATTCCTTGCCATCCACGAGAGTGGTGGGATGATCCTCGCTGCCAGGTGGATGTTTTTTGAGCACAAATAAATGAGGTACTCTCTGGTAATCCAACCTGCGTTAGCCATGGAAATCCACCATGTTTCATAGGTAAATCATCTACCAGCGGGCTATGTTCCAAAGATATCTTAGATTATCAGAGGCTAATCCCATTTGCCTTGACCTAATGAAGTTCAACCCACTTACAAACAACAGCAAATATATAAACATTGATGATAACATTATATAAGAGCAATTTATAGAAACTGGAATTCCCGTGGCTTGGTAGAGCTGACTAATTCTTTAGTGCCCAACAAAAATGCAAGTTGGGAGCAGATGAGACCCAGGGAGCCAATTTGTCTCTTGGATTTTGGTTCTGGTTTCTCTCTGTTTCTCTACCTTCAGGACATATAATCTGTGTTTGACATCATTTTGAGGGAGGGGCATATCATATGGTTACAGTTACATATGCTTTCGTTTGTCTTGACAGTGGTGGAATCCGTGCGAGTCACCTGCACGCTTCTGATGATTATGCTTTGTGCTGTAAGTGTTTGTGTTGCGGTGTTACATGGCGTTACAGTGCAGAACTTATTGGCAGAAGAACTGGTAATTTCCGTGTTTATCTAATTTTATTTATGTCGAAATTGTTTTGGGAAATTTGAGATGCCTCCAGTGTTGTTTTGTGGATTTGGAGAAAGGATTCAGTTTGCAATAGGGTTCTTGATGGTTCTTGGTTGGATAGAGTTCCAAGGATGAGGGCACACCTTTATTTGCACGACCCAATGGCAACGAAGCATGGGTGCCATCCTCAGGGGTTCAGATGGGGATATGAATGGGTTGGGATCAAATGCCATGGTAAGTTGAAATCCTCATGCTGTGCCCTGCTCTACTCACCATGCCATGTATCAATATGATTCAATATGTATGTTTATAATTGTTTATATGTATATCGATATTAAAGATGATTTACCAACACAACCTAGTCGGAAGAGTTGTAGTTGGTTTTCACAACACAATCTAGTCAGAAGCTGGTTTCAAGTCTTCAAGGGAGCGTACCTGAAATAAGCGAATGATTTCAGAGCATAAGGACGGTGATCGTCAGAATGCATGGTTTTGATCGTTATCTACGCCCTTCATGTACAGCATGTTCAGGAGCTTAGCGTAGCATCACGAAAGTCCAGACCAGTTGTATGGATGGATCTATACATTATCTATAGCATTCTATAGTGCAAACCAGCAAACATATTCAAACATCAGAAACTTGTTGTTTTCAATTTTCAACCAAACCATACCTGCTATATGTTGAGGGGGACCATGATTCTGGCAATACCTTGACGCCAAGGTGCTGTTGTTGGAGAAGGCCAGACGAAGCGAGAGATATGTCAGTTGTTTTTTGGGGGGCAGAAAGGGATTTCAACACCCAGAGGATGACACCAGCACAATGAGTGGTTTCATCCACCGGGACTCAGGATTTCACCAAACATGGAACGAGAGACTGAGGATTTCGAGACCGAGAGGTGGCCATTTCCTTTGAGTTTGCTGTGGGCCCTGTTGGCTGTGGACTTTGAGTTTGGTCCAGGCCTTTGCGAAGATGTTGGGCTCATACACCGCCTTGAGCGGTGGAAACTGCTGTTCAGTCCTTCGGCACATGGGAGCTGCTACTTTCGGATGTTCATTCCCCATTCATTCCCCCATTTAGATTAATCCCAGTAATGTATTATGGGTTTCGACCCATTTGCAGGTGTGACTTGCGGCAGGCGCCCATGATCGATACTTGTATATACTTGTTGTATGGTGTTGCTACGTTCCAGAGTAGCTACGCTGGGTGCGATGTATTGCGTAAGGCACACCTGCTGACAATCCAGGACCTTGATCCTAAAGATTTAAAAAAAGTTTTCATCTACAATTTATCTCAACCATGTCTTGTTTGTGCTTGCATTTTTCAACAGAGGGATTCAAGGACTATCAACCAATCAACCAATGTTTCTTAGTGTTGATATTCGAAGAAAACGACAGATCATAGCTGTTCCATATATAAATAGTTATTATACATAGTATACTATATATACTCATAATTACATAATCGCTCATTCACCCTGTAATTTATTTGAAATTCATCACTCAGCATTCCATCCATCCCAAGACCGGTTCCGAGGCCTTTCGCGCCTTCACCGGAGAGAACAGCTACGTTTGGGCGCGTTCGGAGGGCGAGGCAAGGGGTTGCTCCTGTTTGACCAATTGCTGATGTTTTAGTGTCCAAGGACGGAGTCACCACAACCAGTACTGAGGTATCACAAGATAAGTGGGGACAGAGTCCCGAGATCAAAGTTTTTGGACGATCCTCGCTGTGGTTTGATCCCCGGGCCAACCATGATGCGTTGCCAGACT